CCACAGGGACTATCCCATGGAAAGCAATCCCCCTTTGCCCACAGGGAACATCCCCAGCCCCCTGTCCCGGGCAGCTCCTTTGGGGGGTGTTCCCAGTGGAGCACTGCTGTGTGATCCCCCCGGGGTGGAAGATGTTGATCTCTCAGCACACACAGTGGCCTTGGGGGGTGTTTATTTGGGGTTTGGCAGCCGGGGGTGACCCCACCCTCCCTGCCAGTCAGCCCCGAGCCCGGAGGGTGCCCCTGCAGTGCCCAGGGAGGGCTGGGAGCATCTCTGCCTCCACCTCAGCTTGGGCCTTCCTTCATTTCAAATGCAGCACAAAGGAACTTCTCTTTACATTCTGAGGTTTCAGCTGTTTCCATTTGCAGTTTGTAATTTCTTCACAGAGAGGTTTCTTTTGCCTTATATTTTATTCAAGCTTTTCGTGACAGTTTTGGGTAAATACTGTGTTTGTTTGTGCATCATTTACAGCTGATTCTTCAGCTTTGGGCAGATGTCATTTCTCACTGACTGGTGCTCTGGTGTTTATGAGTTACATTTGTTTCACCTGAGACAAAAATCCTTTGCCCTCAGCACGTTATTGCCCTGATTATTAGTTTTTGTTTACAGATAGGGGTTTGATTTTATTATGTAAATAATATTCTGCTCTGATAAAGATGGCTGAGCCAAGTCAGAATTCACAAGACTGTTTATAAATATTTATTCCTACCTTTTCTCAAGTTTTATCTGTGCTCTGAAACACTCCTGAAACACCCTGCTGTGTCTTGGATAGCCTAATGTTAGATATCTCAGGTATTCTTCTTAATTGATACGGGGTGGCAGTGATAAAGAAAAGGTATTTTACCTTTTATCTTACAGGTGGCTTTTTTTATTCTGTGTCTGATGCAGATACTGCAGATACTGGTTTCTTAAGAAGCTGTTAAAACTGCTGGGATGATGAATTAAAATGTTCTGTATCTGTTATAAGGTAACTAGGCAGAACGAGATTAAAACTTGAAGTGAGACAGGACTGAAACTTGTGCTGGTTTGGGTTTGTTGAGTGTCTTTCCTGATGAGCTTGTACTCCCTGTAAAACCCTTGCTGGTGCTGAGATGAGCTCTGAAATGTCCCCTAATCACGGTGACATTGGCTGCACTGCCCTCCTGCTGGGAACACTCCGGGGCTCTGGCAGGTGCCAGGGAATCACTGCTGCTGCAGTCATCTCCATGGCAGCTAGGGGAGATTAAAGCAGGACATTTCTCAGATGATTTTGCCAATAATGATTAAAACAAAATAGCGTTTCATTATCTTTCATATGATTTCATGGAGATTAGAGGGAATAATCCAAATTTTGGGGGGATTTAAAAATTAACCATTCTGCTTGCAGCATGTTTGAAGATTAGGAATTTGGATCAGCTTCTACCTATGAAGATGTTCACAGCTTTGTTAAGATGCATTCTGAGTTCCCAGCTTTAGTTTAAGGATATTAACAAGTGATACTTTATTTTTCATTTTCGTCTCGTTCTGTGGCGGAGAAGCACAGTAAGGTTTTCCAATGTAATAGTAATAATAATTAGTTTCTTGTATCAGGCTTAACAAAATAAGAATGAAGTTTTGTTTGAGCTGAGATGCACAGAGAGCTTAGAACACAGTGAAGGGCAATGTAGACCTGGGGAGTGTGACATTTCTGTAGTGTTGGTAGGGCTCAGAGCAGGGGGCAGTCAGTGCTCTTATTCCTCTTCTCTGAGCTCAAACTCAGAAGATTTAGAAGTTCTGAAATGTCAAAAGTTCTGAAGGAGTACTTGAAGTTCTAAGGTTTACCTTGCTGGACCATTTGCTAAATTTAGAGAGTTTGGGTCTATGGGATTGAATAAAGAAGCACCTGAGGAGGTGACACCACTGGCTTTCCATGATCAGGTTTTTCTAAGAGAAAGTTAATGGATGTGTTATTAGAGCTGAAACCCCCCACAGTGCCAGGCTGTGCTCTGGTTGCAGCTGTGGCTGACTCTGCCCTGGGGTGTGTGTGTGTGTGTGTGTGTGTGTGTGCTTTCATGGCAAACACCCTGCTGGGAAATCATGGCTTCCCTGGGGCTAATCAGATCATCTCTGGGGAATAACTTAAAAATCCGGTGTTAGAAGGAGCTCCTGGCACATTTCCCTTTTAAATACCCACCAGCCTTCCCAGTGACAGCCAGTGCAGGATGGAAGCAGATGGAGCTTGTAGGTTTTGGAAATAGAGTCACAGTTGTCCTTTGTTTTGAAGTGCTGATATTTTCTTCTTGCCAGCAAAGGCCTTTCCCCAGTGCATCCCCTGTGGAACTGGGTGAGGGCACTGGGTGAGGGCACTGGGTGAGGGCACTGGGTGAGGGCACTGCCCAGCACACCCGGGGCACAGGGGGTGGGCTGAGCTGCCAGACCCCAGTGTGTGCTGGGGGGCAGAGACACCCAGGAGTCCCAGGAGCTGAGTGCCCACAGGAGCTGAAACCACAATTCCCAGGTCTGAGCACACTGCTCAGAGGGGGTTGCACTGTGTGCCCCCCATACTCAGCCTGCCCTGTCTGTGAATCTGTCTGTGGGTCTGTCTGTGGGTCTGTCTGTGCCCTGTGTGCCTTGGCCCTGCTCTCACTGGGGTCTTTTGCTGCCTTAGGGGAAAGCAGCAGGGCAGGAATGTCTGCAATGTTACAGCAGTTTCTAACACAGCACATACTTCTGCTGTTTGTTTCCAGATGCTGCTTAGGATCATGCAGTTTAACATGTTAAATTATGCTCTGCCAAAACAAAAATTCACTTTTCTGGATTTTCTGTTTTCTAAAGGAGAGTGTTCTGTGGTTACCTGGCAGGTATGTTCAGTGAACATCTCAGTTTTCTAGAGCTGCAGCCATTTATAGTACAAGTCCCACCTGCTTTCCATTAGAACTTGAATTTATAAATTATTTACATGCTTTTAGAAAAAAAATCTGTCTTATAAATTCTTTCCTCCCCTTTACTGTATCAGAATAATGGGTTTAATTAGGGCCCTGTGAACATGCTAGTTCTGTATCAGCTGCAGTTCTCACCAAGGATTTTATTCAGTTTATTCCACTTCCCATGTGACTTCCAGAGATGAAATCTCACAACTTGAGTGTGAGCCGACCACGTATGAGGGGACAGTGACGTGTCATTGTCTGAACAGAGATGGAAGCTGTTTGAGACTGTCTGAGAACAGTGCCTGGGGTTAAATGGATGCTCTGGAACATGGAGCTCTGCCACAAAAGCACAGCAGTGTGGTAAAGGATGTCCTTGGGTGGGAACATTGCCGGTCCCTCAGTGGCAGCAGGAGGTGGGAGCAGCCCAGCCCCGGTGCTGGAGTGGCTCCCAAGCACATGTGGGGTGGAGCCCATGGCAGCAGTGTCTGCAGAGCAGGGCTGGCACAGCTGGAGCCAAGGGGGGGAACTTGGGCCCTGAACAAATTCCAGTACATTTTTAAGTGGGAAGAGTGGTTTGGGACAGGAGGTATGTCTTGGAGTTTCAAGCATTCCTGGTCTCCTCTTCAGTAATTTTTGGAAGGTTTAGGTTGGAAAATAGGCCCAGTAGAACGTAAGTTGTGTCTGTATCTGGCAGTGGGGAAGCTGTCTGAGATTTTCTGTACGTAAACTATGAAAGAAAACAAGGTGCAGTCTTGTGTTGGTCATGATCCAGTTTGAGGAATATGAAGAAATACTAAACTTCATAATCCATCCACATTTCTGTCATTCCTAACGAGCCCACTCTCCTAAATTAAAGGTGCTCTGTATGTAATTTGAATATATCTTATTATAATAGAATCTTCTCTTCGCTCTTCCTAGATTTAGCAACTGTAATTTAGATTTCATATTTCCATCTGAAGTTAATTGTTATTCCTTCTAGTTCAGGAGAAGCTGCCAGTGGTGCCTAATAAAGAGCACTCAAGGTAAATTATGCTTCATGTCAATTAATTTAAATTTTGTGCCAGTGTTCAGAAGAGATCCACGCCATCCCATAAACATTATTAGCATTACAGCATTGTTTCTTTGGGGAAATTATTGTGTATATGAAATAAGATTTTTGGAGTGAAAATTTCTTCTGGCCAAAGCCCACAGTGCTCTGCCTCACTCTTACTACTTTCAAATTGTGTACTTCTGGCAGCTCTTTCAATACATGTTTCCAACATAATAATTTTCCATACACACTTTTCCCCAGAATGACAGTTGGGGATTGGGCATAGAAAGGGTTCTTTTAGGACACGGTGGTGGAAGGGAAGAAATCCTGACTGTGTGATGCAGAGGTTGAGGAAAGCCCTGGTGCAGTGCAGTGCACACAGAAACCAAACCCACCGTGCTGGGCACTGGGGGCCCAGCCAAGGATCCCAGAGCCCTTGGAATGAGCAGGGCCCTGTTTGCCCTCGGAACGGGCTGGAGGCACACAGAGAGGAGAGGCTGTGAGGTGTCCCCAGCCCCCGGGGAAACTCCTCCTGCAGAACCCACCCCACTGCCCTGTTCCTGCAGCACATCCTCACACCTCGGGGGGATGTTGGGTCACATGTGCTGGCTCCAGGGTGGTGGGACACAAAGGAGCCATCAGGAATTCAGGGCAGGGGCAGGGGCAGGGATGGGATTGAAAAGGCAGGAGTTCAGAATTTAAATCTGTATGTTGTAAGTTGTATGAGGAGCAGCTGAGGGAGCTGGGGGGTCTCAGCCTGGAGCAAAGGAGGCTCAGGGGGGACCTTCTGGCTCTGCAACCCCCTGACAGGAGGGGGGAGCCGGGGGGGGGTCGGGCTCTGCTCCCGGGGAACAAGGGACAGGAGGAGAGGGAACGGCCTCCAGCTGTGCCAGGGGAGGGTCAGGTTGGACATCAGGAGGAATTTCTCCCTGGAAAGGGTGGTCAGGCACTGGCAGGGGCTGCCCAGGGAGGTTTGGAGTGCCCATCCCTGGAGGTGTCCCAGGAAGGCCTGGACATGGCACTCAGTGCTCTGGGCTGGGGGACAAGGTGGGGATGGGGAACAGGGGGGATCCATGGGCTGGGAGGGCTTTTCCAGCCTCAGGGATTCTGTGATAACCTGTGTTTACAGGAGAGTAAATAATAATAAGTAAGCCCCAAATAATGAGATCTTCGGGCCATTATTAACATGATCTGACTTGCATCAATTCCTCAAAGTGGATTTGAAACTTTTTCATGTCAATCCTAATGGAAAATCAGAGCATTGATCTTTTTTTATTGTCACAGTGGCTTAATTTGGCAAGTGTGACAATCTGACTGAACTGTTGAGTATCAGGGTTCAGACCCCTGGGGGGTCACAGAGTGGAACCCCCAGTTTTGCAGGTGCTGTTCACTGGTGGGGTGGAATGCAAAGACTTGAGAAAATCTATGTCAGACTTCAGAAACAACTTAAAGTCTTTAAGCCAAATGAGCTATATTTGATTCTGCTGTAGAAAGCCCCAATTTCTCCTGATCCCTTCCATCATTTTTCAGGTTCCCTCTCACTGGAGCAGGGTGGGCAGTTCGCCCTCCAGGTGACCAGGTCAGGTCATTACATCTCCAGAAAGGCCAAATATAGAATTCTTTTCTTTCTGAGAACTCCATCAGGAGCTGTATTCCTTTTGAAATGCAGCTGTATTAGGTTTTTCTGCAGTATTCTGTTCCCATTCCTTCTGTGCCTCCTGGTTTTTTGGGCATTGCAGAGGAGCTGTTCTGTTCCCAGCTGCTGCACTTTGGTGGGGGTGATTGTTTTGTTTGCTTGGCATTTGTACTGAAGGTTCCCCAGCAGCTTGTTTATAATTATCCTGCACACTACAGTTCAAATAGATAATATCAGATATTTCTCAATATCTGATAGACCTGTTGTTACCACTGTGACTGTGTCACATCAAAGGCAGCAAAAGGACACAGCCTCGTTTTTGAGATGGAGATTCCTGTGGTGTGTTGTGGTTCTGGGGAGAACAACCCAGATTACAATTTTTTGGCTGCTACACAGCCTGTGTTCTCCCTGCCAGGAGGGTGGGATTTAGCTGCAGTTATTAGTCCTCTGCTTTT